ACATATTGTCTCATTATAACCTAACATAACATCACGCCTTCTATCCCCGAAGGTGTAAGCAGAGGTGGACACAGAAGTAACACTTACTTTTCACTATTTATGTTATGAATCCCATGTAATAGGGGGTGAGTCTATTGCCATATAATGGGAACATTTCCAGACTCCGTGCTACTACTGAGAATTTTTTAAAAACCCAGTAGTACTTTGCCTGGCTATCGGACCCGAGACCCCTTGCCCGGCAGTCGCACTTGCTACCACTCGGTCAACGAGGCAGTTTTATTATAATACTAGCTATGCCCGCGACTTCGTTCGCGTGGTTGTCGAAAACAAAACAACATCGTTTCGATAACAAAGGGCTATACATATGAACTCCACTCAAGAAGGTGGTATAGTATTTTTTTTTGCCAATAAAGATCCTGACTACAGTATAATGTTGATTGAATTATATTAAAGTCTGTTATAAGCCCTTTTAGTAAAGACAGACATACCTGGAGGCAAGACAAAACATTAATTAGGGCCACATAAGACATGTTTAACACGACGATTGTTTTGTCGTTTTTTTTGTAAAGAAACTTAAATAAAGATGTAATACCCATACATAGCATCACGTTTTTTATCCCCGAAGGGGTCGGCAGAGGTGCACATTACGGCATTGAATGCCACTGTACAATGTAACACCCAATTTTCACTATTTATGTTTTGAGTCTCATGTATTAGGGGGTGAGCCTATTGCCATATACCGGGCACAATTTGAGAATCTGTGCAACCACTGAGAATTTAAAAAAACACTCAGCAGTACTTTGCCCGACCCGGGAAGCATAATTTTAGACTCCGTGCAATTACTCAGAATAAAAACCACTTGGCCCACTGCTGAGCAAAGCCTCTTCTCACACGGAGAAGGTTTGTGCAGTAATCACCACGCTTGCTCAATGCGGGTTAGCGATTTAAACTTATAATTAGAAATTATAAGTCCAGGATTCTTTACGATGTTTTTCCTTCACCGTTTGTCAGTAGTGTCTAGATAATCTTAGAAAGTACACATAACTCGGAAAAAGTCACATTGGTACTTGCCGTGCCAACTCCGTGCAATTACTCAGATTTAAAAAAAAAAAGACCTCTTGCCCGGCAGTCGCACTTGCAACCACTCGGCTAACGAGGCACTGACGATGTGTCTAAATAAACGATTATTCTATTCAACTCGTATATATTTCATGATCATAATTATGTTAACAATTTCTTATTATATGTAGCAATCAACTATAGAGTAGCAGCACGACTACTCATGAATATGAGCCTCTAGCATGGCTTGAAACTAGTCGAGTTCCTTGTCAAACAGTTACGTGAGTAAGCCGAAAATATAATAATTAAATTCGTGTTATCTTGTTTCAGGTACATTTTATTGACATTCTTCTGAAATGCGACGACGCTCCAACCAGTTATTCAAGGTATTTGTGAATTTTAATGAGAAGCTCTCTTTACACAATATATATCTTTAAAAACAGATTACAGTTTGTTTCTTTGTATTTAATATTTAGATGAAATAAATAACATATACCATTACGCCTTTAATACACGAAGTGGTAGGCTCAGGTGCTCATTACGGCACTTCATGCCACTGTAACAACCACTTTTCACTATTTATATTATGAGTCCCATGTAATAGGAGGTGAGCCTATTGCCATATACTGGGCACAATTCCAGACTCTGTGCTACTACAGAGATTTTTTTAAACCCAGGAATCGGAACAACATCTAGTATTTCAAATTATTGAAATCGATAGTTGCATTTATTTATTAGGACATCTATTTTCTTAAAATATTTAAACGACTGTGCGTGGCGTGAAGAATTAGTCTCTTACTAAAACCCACCAAAAAATATTCGTATAATTATATAGGGTCGATAACAAAAAAAAAGTGAAAGCAGGCGTTTTCTCAGAAACATTGTTAAAAACATTAAACATGAAATACATTTAGTTTTTAATAGAGTGCAAACAAACAAAGATCAACTAACCAACGGGTCATATATTACCTATTAAAATTAATTATTCCATTTTTAAAGCCACTTATTATTATTATTGTTTAAGGTCATATTTTAGATTTTAGTTTATATTTTCATCATAATTTTATTTAGTTTGTACATTTTTTTTAAGTAACATCAATTGGGTTGATGACAGGGTATGAAAATAAAAAAATATAATTAGTCCGTAAGTTAGGTATTGAAAAAATATTAGACCCTTTTTTATTTTGTCATATAATAAAACAATACTTAGATAAAACGAATCAAAGTTTATGCGTGAGGGCTAAAACGTCATTTCTACGTATAGAATGTATATAGAAGTGACGTCACGCGACATTTTAAATCAATATATCGTCGAAATACGTGTCTAATTATTTAAAAAAATTTACCAGACGGACATTAAAATAAAAATTAGGCATCTACCCTATTATACATAAAATTTAAATCAAGATTTAATATACACAGAACTAAATATAAATGATTAAATCCATTATTCCAATTACACTGCCGTCCATACTTATAGCTGGTTTACGCTCCAGTCCAGGATAATATATTAATTTTATAATTAACAGCAGTAACCCTACGACCTGACCTAATTAGTATGTCAGGTGCAAATGCCTTTCAGTTGAAATAATTTATTCTATTAAATAATTACTAGACCCTTTTGTTGACGTTACAATTGTTCCACTAGCAAAACGTGGCATTGTTACTTGAATAAATGAGTTATTTTAGCCTCAGTGTCTTCTTGACTGAGGTGACAGCCTTTGTGAAGTCTATAGCACTAAATTGAGATACTATGTTGAGTAATAACAATTACGGTTCGCTGTTTTTAGTAAGTCTATGTTATCCTTACTATAATATTATAAATCGGAAAGTGAGTTCAGCATATGCATCCCCATCAAATAGATGGTTGGCAGGCCACAACTGTGCGGTTCTCACGTAGCTTCCTGCCTCGCACAGCAAAACTGTGGAATGATCTGTCGTCGGCAGTATTTCCGAACCGATACGACCTTCAAACCTTCAAGAAAAGAGCGTACTCCTTTTTAAAAGGCCGGCAACGCACCTGTGACTCTTCTGGTGTTGCGGGTGTCCATGGGCGGCGCTGATCGCTTACCATCAGGTGATCCGTCTGCTCGTTTGCCTCCAATTCCATAGAAAAAAAAAAAAAGTTTGTTTGTTTGTTCCGCTTTCACGCCATAACTATTAAACGGATTGCTTTGAATTTTTGCAGATGTATAGTTAGAAGTCCGGATTAAATAATAGGGTACTTTTTATCCCAGAAAAATTTGATATTTCCGAGGGAAAACAAAAGTATTGGTATAGATGGCGCTGTGTGTATTGGTATATGTCACATTGGCTTTTTATTCTTTTGTAACGCGAGCGAAGCCGCGGGTAAAAGCTAGTTATTAATAATGGTGAAATGCCATTTTTACCTAATAACAACTACGGTTGACTGTTTTTAGTAAGTCTGTGTTATTATTAATAATAATATGGTGTGATGCCAATTTTACCGACTTCAAAAAGAATAAAAGGAGTTGCCCAATTTGACCAGTATTTATGTAGGTATGTATGTTTGTGCGCGATTAGCTGAACTAATTTTGATACGGTTTTTAGAATAGTGTTTGTTATACTTAGGAGAAAGTAGCTGTAGGTATATTAAAAAAACATATTATTACCTTAAAAAAACGGGTTTGAAGTCGGTTTTTTAAAATGTAGTTTATAGTAATAAAAATAATGGCCGTTCTAATTTCACTTGGGTATACATCTTGTGCCTGGCGACGGTTTTTTTTTCATACAAGTTCAGTCCTAACGAGTTATGCGTGTCTTATACGCAAACGTATCGGTGATCTACTGTATATAAAAAATCTTGAAAATTTGTTCTGTCAAGATGATTTTACATCAGTCTTAAATATCTACATGAAATGACTTGGTTATTTATTATATCTCCTAAACCAACATTGATAATAAGTATTTTTAACACGACGTGTGTGTTTGTTATTAAATATTGTATATAAAAAATATTTCAATAGCAGGTACCTAAGTAAAGCTATTACTAGTTTCAAATATAATGCAATGATTTACAGAGTTATGGCTAAACTGAATTATAGTGAATAGAATGAACGTAATCAGATTCGAATGTATGATTCAGGCCCATTCATTTTGTGCAACAGTTCATTAATAATTTCGATGGCATAGCATAATAACCATAGGTAGATTAATGGTTTTACACTCATCTATTTTATTTTAATGTTGACGTGAAAGGATATGGACTCACGGCGCGATTTTTCTCCGAAATTCCATCCGAATGGAGGCGGAATTTTTAACGTTTTTGCGGTTTCGATTATCGCCCGCAAAGTTGGCGGTAGATTATCACAAGACGGTCGAGCGGTTAAACAATCAGTTGAGTTTCAGATCGGCTATCCCATTACGATCGCCCGTCAACCGATCGCAGAGCACGCGGGTGCAACCCGCCGCGGCTGAAGGACCGCTCCCGCGTCCGCCACACCGGTTCGGCGGGAGCCGCAAACGCGCCGAGAAAACTGCTTCGATTTTTTACATCAGTATATCTGTATGAGTGTATGTATAATGTATACATACAAAAGCTGCGGGCCGGCAACCGCGGGTGCAAAGGGTGCGGGGGAAAATCGCGCCGTGAATCCAGTTACTTACTCCACGGAGTTTACTGTTAGACTTACTTTGTAGATTTTTCAGAAAGTTCTAATGAGTAGTGAAATGAAACGCAATTGATTTCTTTTGTATTAAAGACTATGATTTTATTTACATATTTTTACTACATTCTAGCTTTATCATAATATTATTTCTAATACATAAAATACGTTTACAATTCCATTATATAATTATTGATTTAAGACGAATCATTATAGAGGTAAATCTTATTATTGATGGCAATGAGTAAACAATTCAATGTCATGTCAAGGACTGGCAATGAGGGTATACCATCGTTATTCTTATCTCTCATTAGAATAGTTCATTTGACGTAATATCACAGCTTCTTGCTTGGTAAGAACAGCGCAACCACCAGGACCACTGAAATAAAAAAAGAACCCGTTAGTAGGTAGTACCTATATGAATATAACTAGCTTCCACCACTGCCTTTGCCAGCATTGCTAGGATAAAAGTTACCTATAAATGTGTCATTCCATCATCGACAGCCTATAAATGCCCACTGCTGAGCAAAGCCTCTTCTCACACGAAGAAAGTTTGAGCATTAATCACCACGCTTGTTCAATGTGGCTTAACGATTACAAACTTATTATAAGAAACTATAAGATCAGGTTTCTGGTTGTCAGGCTGAAGGTATATAGGAAATTTGGAAGAGGGGTAGATTGTCGTCTGTAACAACACATAGGCTACCTATTATCCCAGGGAACGCGGGCGAAACCGTTGGCAGAAGCTAGTAATAAATAAATGTAACTAAATACCATAGTCTATAATCTTTGTATCTTCTTTATCTTTATATATATAATTCTTCTGTGAGTGTGTATGTCATTGAACTCCTACTAAACGGCTTGACCGATTTAAATATTTTTTTCTGTACGCGTTTGAGTGGCGCCCTGGATGGTTTAGATTCACAAATCAGCCCATCAGATGGCGCTGCATTCGATGTTTAGGTTAGTTATCCTAAATGGCTGAACTAATTTTTCTGAATTTTTGTTTATACATTCAAGTGGATATGTAAGACAACGTCTGTCGGATCCGCTAGTCTCGTATAAAAAGGTATACTTACAAACCATACATCCAGATATAGAATAGAATGGAAAGGCGCAGCTTATCTCCAGCATTATTGGGAACACTATGTTACCCGATAACGTCCCAATACGACCAATAACCATAATCATTGATATGGCTAAAGTCCTGAAAAAAAGGTCTACAATAAATTCATACAAGTCTAGATATATTTCTTAAAATACTATAATGTACTAAAAGAACAAAAACTATATAAAAGTATTGATTCGCAAATTGCAAACTCATATTAAATACCGCAATCTTGTTGATATTCAGTGAAATTATTAATATTGTTTCAGCTCCATTATCTTAACTGATTTGATATCTAAACTATTCCAAGAATCATAAATCGAATTTCAAATCAAAAGACACACACACACACACACACACACACAAATCTAAATCACAAACAACACAGAAAACAATTACAAACTTCATTCAAAACATTAAACTCCAATCAACGCATAAAATCAAATTAATTATTTACTTAATAACATAATTAAAATGGCGGCTCTACTTGAATAACTTAGCTGAATTTAATATTGACTTAAAGATTATCTAATTTGTTACAAAACAGGGACCGTTTTGCTAAACGTGGCCAGTGCAGATGATATCTGGACTATATTGAGGCTATTCTCGGCTTGTATAGAGTCTATAGAATTCTGCCGACCCTCTGAACAATAGACCGATATCTAGCTACAGCTATTGTGTCCCATTTAATACTTGCAAGATTGACAATGGCGCTAGTGTAGACTTTCGCTTTTGTAAGCCGATTATGTGTGCTTAGCTTTTTTGTGATTTGATGTACAATTGATTTTGTATCTATATTTCCTTTTATTATTTTCTCCTTTGGATTTGTTTGAAATTTTATATAGTTCTCGATATATCTTTTTGTGTAGGACATTAAAACTGTTTTCAATTTTTAAACCCACCTTCATAATATAATCATCTCGCCTCCTAGCAGGGAAGGCACTGGCACCGTATAATGTAACAACCACTTTTCACTATTTATATTAGGAGGCCCATGTAATAGGTGGTGAGCCTATTGCCATATACTGGGTACAATTCCAGACTTCGTGCTACTACTAAGATTATTTTTAAACCCATTAATACTTTTCCTGACCCGGGAATCGAACCTGAGATCCCTTGCCCGGTAATCACAATTGCGATCACTCGGCTAACGAGGCAGTCCTACCAACATATTCCTAAAAATTCGCATCAAAACAAAAACAAACGTAAACTAGTAAACAAACAGTATTATGTTATGTCTACAACCCTAACCAAAATTCATAAAGTACGCATTAAATTTAATAGAGGAACTAACCTTGTCGTGGTAGGAAACATTTCCACTGTCATAGCCTGATTTAAACTCAGCATTGATTGAGCAATAGCTACTGATATTGAGAAAAATGAAACCAATGCTATTTTGTTGCTAGCCCACCGAAGACTTAAGGAGCTTGCAACTGAAATCATGCTAGCGCCAATGAGGAGCGGTTTCTTGCCAACCCTGTTGACTAGAATGGCGGTGATGACGTACGGAATGATGCAGACGCAACCGAGGATGATGCTGTTGATGTAGGTCTCGTGGCCACTTTTTGTCTGAAACAGAAGATGATATACATAGTTAGTCGACATAGAATCCACAATCGAAGGGTAAACCAGGCATTATTTATAAGTGCGAGACTGCCTCGTTGGCCAAGTGGTCGCAAGTGTGACTGCAGGGTAAGGGGTCTCGGATTGAATTTCCGAATCGAGCAAAGTACTAGGTACTAGGTTTTTCAAAAAATCTCATAGGTGACATGGAGTCTGGAATTGTGCTCGGAATATGGTAATAGCTCACTATCACATGAGACTCATAACACAAATAGCGAAAAGGTGTCTGCGTACCCCTTCGGGGATAAAAGGCGTGATGTTATGTTGTTGTTAGTTGAGGTAAATGTCAAATCATGACACCAGATTCTAAGTAGTTTTTAAGAAAATGCAAAAGGTTATCCAGTCTAGGGGTAGAACAAAAATAGTCTCAGTTTAAACACAGCCAATAAGGAAATATCAACCAAACGACCACGATAAGGAAGTGCAATTACCGAAAACCTTAAAAAAACAGGTGCGGCTTTACGTTTCAAAGTATAAACAAAATTTCCTGGAGAAACCTCAGATTTTGCATCTAAGCATCATTTTTGTGGGCGGTCGTAGAAAAACCTATTCAATTATTCTTTAATCATTGTAAGAGGTACCTAAATAACCCTTTTACATCCAACTTCGAGTGTAATGAAAAAAACCGTTGGCAAAAAATTACCGTAGGTAGAGGCAAAAATTAAACTTTGTTTTTACGAAGAATTTTTTGGTACAAACTGGTATTGTTATTCTCGTAGAATTTATTATGCTAGCCGTAGTATTATAAGGTGCTCACAAGATTTATGATGTTATAAAAAATCGAGGACCATTTCTCTCGTTCTTTTTTAGGTACATACCTACTAACCAATCAGAAGGTTAAACTATAATTTTTGAGGTCAAATTGGGTATTGGTGGTTTTTTTTTATTGTGTAGTGCTAATCTGTATCATTTTATATGCGACATAATAAATTAATAAAACTAAAAAAAAATGCCACAAATGCTTGAACCTTCTCACACTGAGAAGGTTTAAGCATTAATCATCACGCTCGCTCAATGCGGGTTGGTGATTTAATGAAACAATTCAGGTTAATTTCGTAACAAAGAAGTACGTATATACTTCCATCTCATTGGTATGTTTTTAGTTCACTACTGTCTTATAAAATACCGAAGTTTAAAAAAAAAACAATAGCTACCTACTCTCCTATCTCAAGTTAAGCTGACATACAACATTAGTCACACATGTGAAATAGAGGTCAAACTTACTATCGCTTACTACCAAGCAAACATACATAAACCATTTTAATTGAACCTTACCTCAACCCCATCAACGAACACACAGGTACATATCAAGCCAGTACAGACCAGTATAATCTGACCGTCAAATATTGGGAAAGTTCATAAACCACGAGACCATGATATTCTGGTTTAGTGTAGATCGATTTGCAGTCGTGTGTACATCCATTAACGATACTCCAAGGTCAGAGCCATAATTCAACCCTTGCAATATTAAGCAAACAATAATTCATTGATAAACAGGCTGTTCTTCCTTACAAAGTTATTTCTAAGCACGCTCTATATGACCTTGGGCCCTGTTCATGTTCAAAGTATGATAATATCGAAATCAATATCTTTGTTTGAATATTAATTTATTGTTATTATCAGTTGAAATTTACTGTCGATTTGAAATGTTTAAATGGTGAATGAGAGTTTGAGATATCGTATAAGTGGTTGGAAACCAGGGTTTTAGGTTATTCACAGTCATCAGATGTCTACTGCTGACCTCTTGAAGGACTTCAGGTTGGATCTTATGTAAGCGAACTGCTTTTCTTATAATAATTATTAAGTACTAAGTTTTAAGTTTTATCCGGTGTTTGAAATGGCCCTATGATTTTTCTTAAGTCCAAGTTCTTCTTCTCAAAATTAATCCATGTATCCATGTGCGCCCTACACGGACATAATATCGAACAGATTGGCGATGTATTAAAGAAGGGCCAAATTAAAAGTACCCTTAACCGACGAGCATGCATGAAAAGTCTGATGACTGTTAATGAAGCGAAAGAGATGTGAAAGAATCGTACGAATTGGTGTTCCATATTCTCTGCCTACCTCCATGGGAGACAGGCGTGAAGCTATGTAAGTATGTATGTAATCTATGTATCGTACTGGACGTTATCAATTAAATTCTCAAAATCAGGTAGAAAATACTCCTTTCATTTAACACCACTCATAATGCAACATCACCAAATGAATTGAAATAAGACTGCCTACACTATCTATTCTGTTAAATTCACCCCCATTTTCATGTACAAAACCTAACCCTGAATTACACAACACAAGTCTAAGCTTCCTAAAATAATATCAGAATCAATATTCGTAGCTAAAACAATAATTTATTATAGTTGTGAGTAGGTAAAATAACTATAGTACTCATGGCTTCGCAATGGTTTTGTAAGCCGTTCGCGTGCAAACGTAACGTGAATAGATAGTAGCTTATTAATAGAAAATGTTTCGATCGTGTTCTCATATTATTCCTATTATCTAAATATAGAATTGGGTCAAGGATTTTTCCTAGTCGTCCTGGGATTTTGAAGACACTACTGGTTAGTGACGGTTTCAGTCTAATTTACATTCTAAGATTTCTAGGTACTGGTATTCATTGTATTATTCATTTCGTATTCATTAGAGACTTGTACTCGATTACTTATAGTCGCATGCATTTAAAAATAGAGTTTTAACCTGAGAAATTGTTCTGAGAATCGTCTTTAGGACAGAACATTAGTGGGCAGTCTACTGAAAGGTGTTCATAGATACTTATTATGAGCGCACGCTGCGTACGGTTATGAACTTTAATCATGGCTTGAAACTAGTTAAACAGTGTCCAAAGGCTACGTAATGCTTCAAATAATACATTCTGATTAATATTGCCTAGTAAAAACTTGGTGTTACTTTTATTACACAGTTCTTTGTCTTCTCCAACAGGGATTAAAAACTACTACAGAGAATACACAAAGTCTTTTTGATTATCTTAGAAAGGAACTTCCAGTATTAGATCAAAGTTCTGTTTGATATCAGAGCTGAGTTAGCCTGGCGTATTCGCGTAGTCCCTGCTCAATTAACGCAGGTGATAGGCTGCGTCCCACGGGCGTAACGTTGCGTACCCGTCGGCAAATTCACGCTTGTCTCGCGCAAACTATGTGTATTGCAGTCTTTAGTGGGAGTTAGCCCAGTGGTCGTTAGCGTTTGTATATGGGTTAGATGTTATTTCATTTGTATTGTATTGTTTTTGGAGTCTTTTGGAAATGGTTGAGTAGAATATCTACATTAATTTGTTACCCTAATTTTCTGGATATCACAAGAGTCGACTACGGGACTATTTATACAGGATGTAAGGAAATGCTTCTAAAACACGAAGACAGGTTATCGTAAAAACGAGTTTTGTTTTCAAAAAGGTAAGGAATTAAATGATTATTTTATGTAATCAACTGCTCAAGACTGATATTGCATGAATAATATGAAAGCAAAAACAAAAAAATTAGTCTGCATATTTTCGAAAGCGTTACGTTTGCCTCGTGTGTGATAGGATACTAAATATTGATTCCAGACTCCGGGCTACTACTGAGAATTTATAAAAAAAAACCAGTAATACTTTGCTCGACTTGGGAATCGAACCCTAGACCCCTTGCCCAGCAGTCGTACTTACCACTCGGCAAACGATTTTGATTTTGTTACATAAAATAAAATAATTCAACGAAATGTAGTGATTTGGCTCTTGTCACTTTGAACGTCAATTATTGATCGAGATTCGATTGTTGAGTCAGTGAAACGGGCAAGGGAAGGCGATTTTTTGTTGAATATTTTTTTGTTAGTAGCTTGATTGACGTTAAAGGAAACTAGACGTCTTTTTATATATTAACTTGAGTATATGAAATTGTACTTTGAGTTAATTGGAATAGTGTTCATTTTGTGGAGTTACATGTTCAATGTTTCAATGGATATCTAATTTCCTCTAGCATTGCAATGTATAAAAATGCTTAGTAGATTTTTTTTATGGTAAAGCCGGTAAACGAGCAGACGGATCACCTGATGGTAAGCAATCGGCGTCGCCCATGGACACCTGGAACACGAGAGGCGTCACAAGTGCGTTACCGGCCTTTTGGGGATTAGGAGTTTGAGGATCGTTAGGGATTCAGGGATTGGGGAGATTGGGGAAAGGGAGGGTAATTGGACCTCCGGTAATCTCACTCACACGACGAAACACAACGCAAGCGTTGCTTCACGTCGGTTTTCTGTGAGGCCGTGGTATCACTCCGATCAAGCCGAAGCATGACTCTCCCACACTAAAAGATACTAATTCTGTAAGCATAATTATTGAGATAAAATAAAATGAACTTACTGGTACACAGATTTCATCCGCAAGAGTAGTATTAACTAAAATAACAGGTTTCAAACTGCTTGTGTATTTGTCTATCACAGCGCATAGATCCTGTCCGTCAGTCAGTGGATTGTTTTCAACAATAGCTGAGACTTGAGGAAACCATAACCTTAGGACATTGTACCTGAAATTTTGAAACAATGACTGTTATTCTCCCGGAATATTCTTTGGATATACTAAAGAAAAATGTTTGTTGGTTCAGTCATAAACACGACTATTAGAGCAAATTAAGGTCTTCGGTTTAATTTGTATACTGGGCAGAACATGCACCGATCTTTTCAGTTTATGGCAATAGGGTCTTTATTACACTAATCATTGGTGATTAAAACCGGGTGTTAAAACAAATTCAATCCTATAACATAACATTCTTTACATACAGAAGACACGATTGAGATAATGACAGGGTGTGAAACTTAAAAAATTAATAAGTCCGCAAGTTAGGTAATGAAAAAATATTAGACACGTATTTTTTATTTTGTCGTATAATAAAACAATACTTAGATAAAACGAGTCAAAGTTTAGGAGTGGGGGCTAACACGTTATTTCTACGTATAAAATGTACATAGAAGTGACGTCACGCGACATTCCAAATCAATATATCGTCGAAAGTATTTGTTTCTGTAGGAAAATAAAAATACGTGTCAATTTTTTATAAATAATCTACAAGACAGTCATTAATATAAAACTTAGTCATCTAACTTATTGTGTAAACACAGCAATATTCTTCGCGAATTAACTATCGAACCGGAGTTTCTTCGGTTACCAGGCACACTTCCAGCCACTAAACATTAGTTAATTTAGTAACCAGAGGCCTAATTACCCTCCCCTTTCCCAATCTCCCCAATCCCTGAATCCCCAACGATCCTCAAACTCCTAATCCCCAAAAAGCCGATAACGCACTTGTAACGCCTTTGGTGTTTCAGGTGTCCATGGGCGACGCCGATTGCTTACCATCAGGTGATCCGTCTGCTCGTTTACCGGCTTATGCCATAAAAAAACATACTTACATAGCCATAATAATGAAATTGGTACAGCAAGTCATAGCTAGATAAACTACTAATGGTTTCTGAAACATTGGCTTCACATTGTAAAGGCCTTCCACAATCTGATGACGTATGCTCATCTCTGCTTTACGTTCGGGAGCTTCATCTATCGAGTGCTTGTTCTTATCCTTCCATATATTGTAGAACTGTAATTAAAATAAAGAAAAAAAATTTCGTTATAAACAAAAAAAAAACAGTGATCCACAAATTGTTCCGGGTCTGGGTGTCATGTGATGTGAACTTGTATGTTTGTAAACGCACTCACGACACAGGAGAATATACTACTGTGGAGCAACGTTTTAAAAAAAAAGTAAAAAACATAACTTTAATTTGTGATGTTAATAATTATACTAATACTTATTCTGAATATAAAGGTTTCTTTGTTTGGATGTGTGAATGTTTGTCCGTTAATCACGCTGAACAGTATTTGATAAAATTTAGTAGGTATACAGGCAGGGTACGAGGTGACTTAGGCGATAGGATACTTTTTATCCCGATTAAATGCTTCTATGGAATAATACAAGAAAAGCTAGTATAAACCCTGTTAGACCTAAAAGCCAAGATATTAATAATAAATTAGAAACTGTGAATAAACCGGTAAAGAATAAACTGTGTATCTTAAGTACTAATAAAACTAACAATATTACCTCCATAGCTGAAGAAACTTTTGAAAACTTACAAATATGTCACTATATCTTTCCAAACTGCGGCTTAATACAGCTTATAACTAACCTAGATAAGAAAATAACAGACTTCACTATGGCTGACTATTGTGTAATCTTAATTGGTGAAAAAGATTTCCAACGTACAGAAAATTATGTAAATATCGTTATTGAATTAAGAGAAACACTACTTAAAATCCAGCATACGAATGTTATCCTATGTGTACCTACCTTCAAATTAAGTGATTACTCAACTATGTTTAATTGGCGAATAGAAACCTTCAATAATTTATTACATCTCGATCTTCAAACACATTGCTATGCTACTGCATTTGATACTAACCTAGACTTACTGTATGATTTTACTATGTTTTCAAAAGTCAACAGAAGGGTAAACGACCGCGGGATGCGCAATATTTTCCGTAACCTACTACTGACTATATCTAGTAATATGACAGCATGTGAAGCCTTAATTAATGAAAATGTTAACAACGTCGATGTATCATCAACTCGTGAGTTTTTTCTTTGATTCCATGTATATTTTCCATCAAAACATAGCTGGACTTATAAACAAATCGGATTTACTAATTGTTTACATTCGGGAATTGTTGAATCAGCAAAAAACTGTAGATGTAATATGCATAACCGAACATTTCATAATGTCAGGTCAAGAACATTTACTACATATACCAAATTATAAACTGGCGGCGTGTTATGCTAGACAGAATAGAAAACGTGGTGGTTCTTGTATCCTAGTGAAAGCTGGACATGAGTATAAAGAGCGATCTGACATAAGGAAATGTTCAATATCGGGAATTGTGGAATGCTGTGCCATAGAAATTCCTGTACAAAAACTTATTGTCATATGTGTATATAGACCTCCCAAATTGTGTAATCTAAGTAAGTTTTACGAAAATTTAGATTTGATATTAAAAAAAGTGTGTATTAAACAATCGCAAAAAGTAATCTTATGTGGAGACTTTAATATAGATATCTTGAACAGGAATAGAATTACATTAGAATTTGAATGCTTTCTCAGGAGCTTCAACCTCAAATTAGAAATTAAACAGCCAACTCGATTCACCAGTAACACTTGTTTAGATAATTTTGCACATAACTTTAAACAAAATTGCCAACATGAAGTTAGAGACTTTGGATTATCTGACCACACAGCTCAAATGTTAAAAATAAAAGTAAAAAAAACCAGTCAAATTAAAACATGGAAATCGTTTAGACGAGATATAACCCAAGAAAATCTTATTAAATTTCGAACACACCTCAAAAGCTTGACATTCTTTGATGTATATAATACAGAAGATGCCAACGAAGCCTATAATAACTTTTTAGATATATTCGTACTATTGCACAATCTTTGTTTCCCTACGAAATTAATAACCATTAAATCTGAAAAAAATTAAAATGGGTTTCCCGTGGGATACGATTGTGCAGTAAAAAGCAACGGCAACTACTATGGCAACAGCGACTTAAACCAACCTGTGAAAATAAAACGAAATTCAATGATTACTCAAAGAGATTTAAGAAAATAATCAAACTCACCCAAAAGGCCCAGAATAACCACCTAATAAATAACTCAAAAAACAAATGTAAAACCGCTTGGCAAATTATCAATAATAACAAAACCGTAAAGGAGCCAATTTCTCAAATAACAAAAGGTGACAAAATAATATCGAACCCATTCCTAATAGCCGAATCATTTAACAACTTCTTCATCAATCAGACTTCAAATAAACTAACTAAAACTATGCAATGCGACTTGCTTAACTTAGAAAAAAATCCACATTCGATATTTATGGCTCCAGTGGTTCCTCAAGATATTATTCGCATAATAAAGAACCTGAAAAATAAGAAGTGCTTTGGCTTTGATGGCATTTCAACAACAGTCATAAAATTTGTTTCTGGTTGTATAGCCGCGCCCCTTGCTCATATTATAAATGTAAGCATATTTTCCGGTGTGTTTCCAGAAAATCTTAAAACCGTAATAGTCATTCCAGTATATAAAAAGAATGATAAAGATGAAATGGTAAACTATAGACCTATAGCCCGTATTTCCATATTTTCAAAGATAATAGAAAAAGTCATGTACGAATCTCTCTACAATTTCCTAACAAAACATCATATACTCTGTAGCGAGCAAAAGGGTTTTCGGAAAAATAAAACATCAACATGGCCATTTTTGATTTTCTGTATGAAGTAATGCCGAAAGTTGACTCTAAAATACCAGTATGTGCAATATATGCTGATATGTCGAAGGCTTTTGACTGTGTGGACCACGATATACTGCTAGCCAAGCTTGATGCATATGGTATCCGTGGCAATGCCCTTAATCTAATAAAAACATACCTTAAAGGTCGGAGACAATGTACGGAGATATCTAGCCTATGCCTAAAATCCAAAAGGGAAATCAAATCTTTATCCTCTTTCAAACAAATAAAATATGGCGTTCCACAAGGAAGCGTCCTCGGACCTTTACTATTCCTACTATATATTAATGACCTGCCACGTAATATATCTAACCCTATGGTCTTATTTGCAGACGATAGCACCTCAATTGTTTCATGTACCAATAAAGACTTATATGTTGCAGATATCAATAATTCAATCAATAGTTTAATAAAGTGGCTTGACAACAATAACTTAGTAATTAATTTAGACAAAACTAAAATCATGCATTTTCACCAACGGACACCTACAGTAGACATTGATATCAATTATAATGGCCAAATAATAGAAAAAGTAAAAAGTGCAAAACTCCTAGGAATTTTAATTGATAGCCAGTTAACTTGGAAACCACAAGCAGAAGATATATGTAAACGATTAAGTACAGCCGCGTTTATGTTACACAACCTAACAAAAAAAGTCGATCTGCCAACAGTGATATTAGCCTATCATGGTCTTGTAGTATCCATTCTAAGATTTGGGGTAGTATTTTGGGGAAATTGTAGTGAACGGGAAAGCATTTTTAAAGCCCAGAAACGATGTTTGAGAGCAATGTTTAGCCTTAAAGTAACTGACAGCTGCGTACCTATATTTAAGTCTCAGAAATTATTAACTTTTCCATGCCTCTATATCCTAGAACTAGCAATGTATGTAATAACAAACCGATGTTTATTTACACCAGTATCTGCAACCAGAAAGCGTAGTACAGCTTTAAGATCGCAATATCAGAACCTATTATCCACAGGTGTATTCAAAACTAGCCTACTAAAAAAAAGTGTAATCTGTATGGCCCCTATTATTTACAACAAAATTCCTGACCAAATTAAAAACTTACCTGTTCTGAAATTTAAAAAATGTTTTACAGAATTACTTGTCAATAAATGTTATTACTCTGTGCAGGATTTCCTAAATGATACACCATAAATTATAAATTATTATTATTTTTTTTCAACCTAATTGTAAGAAATATATTTGCATGCCAACAAGGCCGAATGTATAAGGTTCCGTGACAACATATTGTACCATCTTATTCTTATGTACCTACATTCTAGCAAATAAAGATATATTATTATTATTGTTTTCATTTATTTATTTTAAATTCTCTATAAAATACATTTTTAAATACTATTTACAAAAATATAAAAATAATATTTAAAAATATAGAAAATAGGAGCCGACCAGTAGCGGGAGCATGGTCCAAGCTACCGGTGGTTAGGGCTCCAGAGACAGAAACCTCCTCACGATACGTGCCGTTTCAAGGAGCACTGCCTTCTGTATCAGGCCCTTGACCCAACTACCTAACGCTAGCCTCCTAAGGTGGTTGTCGAGGCTATTAGGGATTAACCCATTGGCCGATACGACTATCGGCACAATGATAGCCGAATCTACATTCCACATGTCGACAACCTCGTGAGCCAAATCAAGATATTTGATTTGTTTATCTTTTTCAGCTTTCACGAGGTTCTCATCATGAGGAATAGTGATATCGATTATCATCGTGCGGCGCAGTTGTCGGTCAATCACCACTATATCAGGTTTGTTGGCTATAATAGTCCTGTCAGTGATGATAGACCGGTCCCAGTACAACGTGATATGGTCATTTTCCAGAACTGGGTCGGGCACATACTTGTAGTACGGTACCTCAGACTCAACAAGTCGATAGTGCAAAGCAAGTTGCTGATGGATAATCTTGGCTACTTGATTATGCCTATGCAAATATTCACTGTTAGCCAAACGACCACAACCAGAAATAATATGTCTAATGGATTCACCAGGACTATGACATGCCCGACATATGTCAACCGTCCCATCCTTAATTATATATTTCCGGTAGTTATTCGTAAGGATAACTTCGTCCATAATTGCACAGACAAATCCTTCAGTTTCTCCAAAGAGATTACTGAATCGTAGCCAAGACACGGACGCTAGAAAATCTACACTAGGCCCATGAAGGGCCCGGAAGAAGCGTCCGTGGAGCTCCTTGCTATGCCATACCTCCTTGCGATCATTGACGCTCAGTACCATAG